TGGCCAATCATGAAGCCGGACAGCGAGACATTACCCGCCCCCCGGCTTTCTGATTGGCCAGAAAGGCGGCTTCATGCTCCCTCGTCACCGGGTGACGAGGGAGCATGGAGCTGGCTTCCCGACTAATCAGGAAGCCGGGCGCTGTGTAATGACCTGTTCCCTGGCTTCCTGATTGGTCAACTTGTCGACCAATCAGGAAGCCGGGCAACGAGTCAATACATGGCGCCCAGCTTCCTGATTGGCCGCTAATTGGGAAGCTTGGTGGCGAGTCTTTACACGCCGCCTGGTTTCCCAGCTAATCAGGAAGCCCGGTGGGGAGTCATTACACACAGCCTGGCTTCCTTGATGGGACTTCCGGTATCGGTATTGGCGAGTACCGGAAAAAAAAATCGGTAATCGTACTCGGTACCAAATAAACGGTAACGGTGCATCCCTAGCTGAAACCAACTAATCGATTAACCGATAAAAAGAATAGTTGTTAACAATTCTCATTATCGATTAGTTGGTCTTGTTCCCCTAGTTCTTTCCTCTGCACTTTGAGCCGGTGTTTCATCTGCTCCCAGTTGGGATCGGAGGGGACACAGACCCAGCAGCCAGTGCCCAGCAGTAAGGAGAGCTGTACCAAACCTCCCCCCACCACATCGGCTCTGCAGCTCTCTTCTCCCAGCTGGGAGCCTGCTGCATGCTGCGGTCTGTGTCCCCTTCAAACCCACTGCTTTCCCACTGCTTTCCCCCGCCTGTATTGGCAGAGGCAGCAGGGATCAGAGGGTACACAGAGCTGATCCACCTTCCGGTGCCCAGCGGGTAGGAGAGAGTTAAGTCAGGAGTGGGGCGTTGCGGGGAAGTGTGCTGCGGGACGATCAGCAAATATCAGAAATATTTGGTGATCATTCCCTGTAATATTTAAAACAACCCAGTGAACGGTATTGATCAGTACGATGTTTGTAAATAACTGAGGACATAGTTTTCAGATACTATGTCCCCAATTATGAATGAGCAGGAAATGCTCTACAACACTGTGTCCTCAATCTCTTTTTTTTTTATTCAAAAGGGAAATATCAGGGGTCTGTTTAGACCTCTGACATTTCCCCAAAGCGCCTAACAGTAAAGTAAAAAAATAAAATAATTAAATTATAATTGAAAAAAAAGTTAAAAAAGAAATAAAGCTGCCCTCCTCTATTTATTGGAAAAAAACACAAAAACAAAACCTGGTGTGGGAGGTGCGTTGCGGTGCCATTAATTTCTAAACTAAATGTAAAGATAAAAAACCACCACTGAATGACACAATATGTGTTGAAATCATATAGAGCTTCTTATTTCTGACTCTGACATGGCTTGCAGCAGGACCCCTAATAAATATTATAAAGCACATCCCAGTAGCTACTTCCTGCAACCAATCTTACTTGAAAGGGCCCACTGCTGGCTGAAGCTGTATACGTTGTAATATCAAGTTGTCATGGATCCCACTGAGAAAATACATTGTCTAAGACTGACCTCCTTCCTGTTAAGGCCTAAAAATTAATTAAATGTTATTTTATCTTTCAAGTTACATATGTGTTTCAGAACTTTGGACTTTCTATAGTTTTCCTCTAAAAGTTTCTAAACATTAGCTGATTAAACATCAATACGCTTATGTACACTGAAGCATTGAAGTTGTGCTGTGATGCCTAAGCAATACATTTTGTAGAACCAAGCTAAATATTCAAAGTTTTCAATCTGAGACAAGGAACTAATAAAAAAGAGAAATTCACATTAGACTCTGGACAGTTAATGTGGCCCTCTTCTCCCCTGCAGGGAATCCAGTCTTCATGAGAAATAGACACTCGTGATGGACATTTTATTCTGGCAGAGACCATCAACACATTAAACAAAACAGTCGTCAACGCTCAACACTAGCTGCCGATTTCAGACACATATTGACAGCTTTGCTTTCCTGAGGCAAATTACTAAACCACCCTGTTCCTCATTTCTGGAGACCCTTCAATAGATGATTCATTATCCAAATGACAAAATGTCACATTAACTCCTCCTTCAATGCTGAATATGCCTACAAACATATCATGCGAGGCGATGTCTGTTACGTGTTATATATTAACACATAACTATATTTGTGTTACTTTGGAAAAAATAAGAATGGATATGTAGCTTTAAAATTCTGAAAAGGCATGTTAAAGGGTTAATGTGGAAATACTTTAGCTTACAATGAGTAAATTTAAGCTATTCACAGGAAAGTCATACCACTGTAGATGGAAGTCACTTTTTTGTATTATGAACCTAAAGTCCAGGTATCAACCAGTTTGCAGAGGTATTAAAGACAGGAAAAGAACGCGTAGCAAACAATTATTTTTATTAAGTTATATCTCTATTATATATATTTTTTTGGGCTACAGCAAAGAGTGATTACAACGTCTATCAGGTTTGTTGTCTGTTGTTTCTTCTGGAGTTTTTATCACGTGAGAAATCTCCCAAACATTTTTTTACTTGCTTTAGAATTTTTTTTAAAGTTCTTATTGGAACACAGGAATATAATAATTCTTGGACATTTGGGTTATATGCAGCAGCATACAGAAGTATAGACTGGCAAACTGAAAAAAGCAGTACACAGAGTAAAAAAAAACAAAAACAGAAGAGAGTGGGACCTGTGTTCCTCATTGGACTTCACGAAAAAATTGTTATGGAGTTCAAAAATCTTATTTTCTTTATTGTCATTGAGGGATACAGGAATATATTAACTCAGCAATCCAACCTAGGGGTGGGCAACTGCTACTGAGAAACCTAGCGGATGTGAAAATCTTACAAGAAGAATATCTGAGCAAATCAATGCCTGAAAAAGGCTAGATGAACAAAAAAGGAGGAAGCAAATATGGAAACTGCTAACAATGAAAGGCACCAAGAATGAATCTGGTATACCAGAACAGAAAAGATAGTGCCAGAAAGGGAAGATTCCACATGCTTCAACTCTGCTTCTTCAAGTGTACACGCCACCTTGATAGAAAAAATCCAGCTGCAAGAACTCCTTTATTCAGACTTGTACAACTCGACACAGTAGCACCCTTGGTCTGCCGCTCTAACGCATTTCACCCTATCCAGGGCGTGGGGAAACTACTATTCTGAAAAAATTATGGACTTCAACATACATGTGGAGGACAACCAAGAAACCGCCATAAGGAAAAAACAGGTGGGAAAAAACTTAGACAAAGCGCACAAGTGGTTTGTCTAGGATACCTAACCCTTGACCTTGAGAAAGGAATGTTGGATAATGAATGTCCCGAACAACGACCAATCAGTGAACCGTTGGGGGTTACAATAAAGATACCCCTAACCCCTGACTTCAGGGAGACGAAGATCCATAATATAACAGCCCTCTCAATACTAATTTAAAGGGAGAGAAAAAAGGAAACCTTGGATGGGAAACAATGTAGGTTAGAGCAGCAAGTCCATTTTAAGGAAGGGGTGGAAGAACCACACACCTATAGAGAAGGGAAGGTCAAAGAAAAATAGATCATGAAATAATAGAGGTATGGGGACCTCAGAATAAAAAAGATGAGATGGAAACCTTCTAACTCACACCAGTTAAGGGTAGATAGGTGTGATAGTCTCAATACAACCCGTTTGAATACATATCTGAACAATCAGTCTGGCATAGAGAAGAAAGGGAATCTTTCTTAGAAAAAATAGATTCCATTGGGATCTCCAGACTTACAGTTCCCCAACTAGGGGAACTTTGTAGTGCTGTGTCTGTCGATCTTACAAGAAAAAAAAGCGGAATAGGATGGAAATTTCTTTGTAAAGAAGGAAAAGAAGTTGCATTTGTGAACCGAACCCTCACTGTATAAGGAAGGAAATATTCAGATGCAGGGATCCAGACAAATAGCTTTGAACCCTGCACGAAAATAGCGTGGACACTAGAAGACAGCCAACATTGTGAAGTGTAAAGAGAAAGGCATCAGTAGTGACAGATGGAGTATACCAATGTCTCTGAAAAGGAGGGTATTGCACACTTTATTAAAGTGAAGCAGATGAACAGACTCATATTGAGGTTTCCTTACTACTTGCAAAGCTGTCTGTTTTATAGAACCAGACCTAAGATTAGGAAAATGGATATATTGTCCAAAATCCAGATTCTGCATCTAAAGATTAGAGGTAAAACAGTACTGAAGGACAGTATGAAAAAGAAGTATGTTGTCAAGAGTTCTCATCAGTCCCAAAAAGGGGAGTAAATGGGATAGTACCTGTTATACAGAGAGAAGAGAGGAGATGACTCTGCTCTCTCATGGTTCTCATCCTACTTATCTATGTGCTCCTTCAGTGTCACCTACAATTCTAACTCCTCCCCTCCTCTTCCTCTTTCTGTAGGGGTCCACACTTATAGTATAAGAGGAACTGCCGGAATGCAGAATGCTGACAATTTGAAGTGAGCATCTATTAAGCATTCCCACAACAGGAAAGCTAGGGAGACAAGAAGCACTAGTGTGGGATGTAATAAAGATTTACCAGGGTCTAGATAGAACATTCCCCAGCGGTGCTGAGTAAAAAGTGTCCATCCTCCTAGGACACTAGAACAAAACTGAAACATGACAGTTAGAGACAAAGTTATAGGGAGGTTGCCTAATCATTTTTTTTTCTGTTTGCCAATGTCCACCTCCTGTAGGAAGCTACAAATAACCTAAATGTCCAAGAAATACTTTGTCCCCCATGGATGATAAAGAAAACCTTTTATTATTAGGCTGGGGGAAAGCTAGAACCTTTAATTGGCTGATAAAGAGGTACCAGCTCACTTATGTTATCATCCCTGTCCACATGAGCACTGATGCTGTCCCTCCCTCTCCCAGTCTGCTCCTACAGTGCTGCAGGGGATGACAGGAGACCAATCTCAAGGCAGACTCAAGTACTAATGCTAGATTTATGTACAAACAGTTTAATTTTTATCATAACTATTATTATTTTATCACACCTGAACAAATGCAGCTTTATTAAAGCTATAAAAAGATAAAAGTTACCTTATTTTTTGGATTTGATGTATTCATCACACTTCTGGTCTCTTTTCCAGTATAAATGACAACACCTATTACAGTACCTAAAACACAATGATAAACAAGACAAATGATATGCAAAAAGGTTGAAAAAAACCCCCAACACACTGTATACTATAATCCACAATATATTTACAAATTTAAGTGCCAGTGTCAGGAGCATACAACAGAGAGTACATGTGACTTGCTGCTAGCAAACATTACATTTGTACAACACTCTATTAATGTTAAAATACAACTAAAGGCTCCTGTACAGTGTACAATACATGTACAATACACGTACCAAATCCAGTTACTAACGCACAGCCATCATTAAGTAAAAAAAAAAAGTTATCTTCCTTAGATTAGACAAATTCTCCTTATTTTTTGTCTTACATGCTCCCCGTCCCAGACATTGCACCTTAAAGTGGAAGGGTTTCAGCATCAGAGGCAGTGCTGACAACTCAGAAAGCAGTGGGCAGGACTAGGAGTGGTCAGGTGCTGATTGACAAGCTACAAGTTTGTGAATCAGATGTGACAATACCAATAGTCATGTTCCCTGCTACATGTCTTTCATCCCACTGCATTGTAAGCAAGCATGGCCAGCATGACATTGTTGTTGTCACACCATCACAGGAAGCTGGATTAGGTGGACTGACAGGTGCAATAGATATTTGTGGAAATTCCTGAAAGCGTGCATGGGAGGAGATGACGTGGAAGCTAGAGAGCATGAAAGCCAGAGTGCATGAGGTCTTCAGAAGAGCAAAGAGGATAGTTTGGGTGCAGAACAAAATAGAGAGAGGCTACTTGTGCAGGTAAATTCTAGTAACTTAAATACTATAAATAAATGAAACACAACTCCTCCCCCCTTCCCCACACAGACAACATGCACATGCAACAGTGTGCACCATATTTTGCCTTTATAAATTTTTTTCCTTTATAAACTTTTTTCCTTTATAAAATAACATGAATTTAACTGTGGCAGTGCATGGCAAAGCGTTGTGATACTCTGTGTTGTGATTAAATGTACACCTGTATCATTTTATCACAACGCACACACCAGCACAGCGCACAAACAATTTAAAGCTGCTTATTTACAGTTTTAGTTCTTTTTTTACCGTTTTGCACAAAGGCGCAATTTAAAATGTACAAATATTTGTTATTTATTAACTCAATACAGTTTTATCTTTTAGATGAAGTCGGAAAAGTGTTTTTTTTAATGCACTGGTACTGATCTTAGTGTACTTTTATCAATTTAGTTGTGTATTTTTATCGGTTTAATATTGATTTGACAAACATTTGCGCAAATATCGCAGGACTTACAGAAAATATATGGTTTAGGGGGGTCTTTTACAAATGCTAGCAACGCAGCAATAGAAAATCAAAACAATGGTGAAAATTGCAAAAATGGTGTGGCCAGCTGAGGTTTAAAGCGCTCCGGAGGGCTTGGCAGCGAAAGGGTTAACAGTCAAAAATTACTTTTCCCATCCCTAGGCCTAAGTGCTTGAGGACTCATACTCATGATTTCCTTTCCCAATGTAACTACCTACACAATGACTTTATCATATGAAACCAAAAATTTAGAACTGGGAAGATCATTCATTAAATAAACATGCATAATTACTGATATGCATGTCGGCCAGTCTCTCTATTACACTCTGTGCTGGGTTTTCGTCTGTTCATCTTTAAAGACTGCGTTCCATACAATTACTGATTAACACAGGATCTGCGATAGTATGTAGCTATGTCTAACTGTGTAAGGTAGCATTTAAAGAGAGCTACATATTTACTCCACAACATCTAAAAAGTCATATGTATTAGTTAGCTCATATGTATACATATGTACACGTTTTGGTACATAATGAAAAATGCTTAAATGTATTCTCCAATGTATATAGTTAGAATTATATAGTTAGAATTATTGTTTCTCAAAGCATTTCTTTTACAAAGTGTTTTGAAGATCATCATAGAACATTAGTGTTAACAAGAGCCTTCAATGCAATATAAGAACATGAAAAATTGTCTTTGCTCTTCAAAACACCCACTTACTACATTCTCCTCCAGATAAGAGTCATCCCCATCGTTTCTGTACAATGAAGCAGCTAATCAATATTCCCATCTTCATTTCCCAATGCATTATGTCTGCCTCTTTCAAGAGATGAATGTGCTATTAATATTGGATGAACATGATGGCAGAGAAGGGCCTCTTATAAACTTACATGTATTGTAAATATTCCCAGAGTCGCCCAGACAAGAGAAAGAATTAACAATAATTACCGTATATACTCGAGTATAAGCCGAGATTTTCAGCCCATTTTTTTGGGTGAAAAATGTACTGCTGTCTGGAATGCAAAGGTGAACTGCAATTAAGAAATAACTTATTATCACTAACAAATTAGAGTGTAAAGATATTCATAAAGCAGAGACAAATATGTTACTCTCTACCTGAACATTTAGGGCAAAGATTATGCTACAAAAAATAACAGCAAATGCCATTCTTTTTTTTAAGTTATATTCAGCAAGAGAACTGTAGTGGGTATCACTCAGCTGTAGATCCTCAAATCATCTCTGAATTGGTGCTGACACTGTCCTTCCTTCTGGAGGGTGGCTACTTTTGTTCCCCATGGTCCCTATGTGTTGTAAAGTAGTCACCGCTCAAAGCTGGCTCCCGTGATGGACTATAATTTCATGTTTTTGTTTACTAATTTGTATTGAGATTCTAGTCCATCACAGTAGTGAGCTTGGCGCGGTGGCTACTTTACAACATACCTAAACAAAAAAAGAAAGAACAGTTGGGTTAAAAACAGTAGTTGATTGAGGTGTGAACAATAATATTAATAAATAAACACACAATTTGAGGAAACCTCCTACCACCTACTTAGTTTCAACATTGGAGGCTAAAATGAACATGATTGAGAATCTGATGACAAGATTTATATATAGATGTAATACAGTACAAAAACATGTGCAATTCATAAGAAGATATAATCCAATTATTAGTGGTAAAAACCTCCAATGGAAACACTTGGTGGGTGACAATGCAGAATGCACAATGCTCTACGTGTTTCGCACCCACAGGCGCTTCCTCAGGAGAGGGAGGTATTCTGAAGATAATACAAGAAAAAAGTATAAGTGCTACAACATCAATCATATTTGATAATGAAATGTTTATAACAAGAAGTGCCAGCCAATCTTACCCCCTCGGTGTGAGATCAGTAAGTGCGCAAACAAGAGCGCCAAGCGGATCAGGGAGACACGTGTTCCCAGGATGAAGGAGAAGATGTATTCTAAATCAGGGGCTGCTTATTAGGGATGCTGATAGTATTGTGGTGGAGAGGAGTAGACTCATATACAGAGTAAATCCACCTAAAGTAAACCACACACATGTATAATGTATAGAAATGGAAAAAATCCTTGTTTCCTCAAGAACAAGATGTGGAAATCCTGATAAAACCTCCAGCATACGCTTTATTCTAATCAACATACCCAGATTAGAAATATCATGGAGAAACAATGGCATTTGCTTCTGGAGGATTCCAGGATCTCCAAATTCCTGGGCCCCAAACCCGAATTGGTATTCAGGCGTTCTAAGTCCCTAAGAGACCAACTGACACATAGTCATTATTTATCACAGGCTGAAATTAACATCTGAGGGAACCATGGTACTTTTTGTTGGCAACAATGCAACTTCTGTAACTACATCAAGCAAGGTAACCATATTAAATTACCTAATGGTATGGTCCCCAGAGACCATATTGATTGTAACACCAAGGGAATTGTCTACCTAATGTCATGTATCTGTGGAGCATTTTATATTGGCAAAACAATCAGACCATTCTCCAGACGGATTCAGGACCATATATATCTGGCCCTTAACGGCAAAATGACTAAACCAGTTAGCCGACATATTGGGCTACACCATAACTTTAACCCTGGGGTCGTGTCCTTCTATGGTCTGGAGCATATTGAAGACAATATACGGGGTGGGAATTTAGACCAGAAAGTCCTTCGTAAAGAAATGGGTTGGATATACAAACTCCAGGCCACAAGGCCTCAATGAGGCTTTGAGCTTCAAACCATTCCTTGGATAATACAGGGACATATGATCAATAGTGCTATTGCTTTCCGGGGTGCCGCCTGTGTGGATGGGGAGGGATCATTGGGAGTTTGTTGTTTATATGGAGGTATACATCTTTTTGAAGATATTTATTCTTGACGTGGGAAATGCTCCCCCCCATAATTTCATCTTTTCTCTTTGTTGATTTGGCCTCCGGGGGTGCTCCATCTCCTTTGTGTCAGGCCTCGCCCCGTTTCTCAGGGTGCCGCCCGTCTGGATGGAGATAGATCTAAATGCGCCCTCATAAAATTTAATATGTATGTATTTATATATGTAAATTTTTCCCTTGGAGCGATTGTGTCTAAGTGCGGAAATGCTTTCCCCAATGTTTCCTTCTTTTTCCTTGTTTTTATGATCTGACTTTCTAGGTGCTCTGTCTCCTTTCGGTCAGGCGTCGCCCCGTTTTTCGGTGCCGTCCGTCTGGACGGAGATGGACCTCAATGAGCTTTCATTAAATGCAATATGTATGTATACACATATGTGCATCTCTACCCTGGAGCTATCTATTCCAGGTGCGGAAAATGCTTTCCCCACAGTTTCCTCCTATTCCCTCCGTTCTTTATGATCTGGACTCCTGGGTGCTCTATCTCTTTTCGGTCAGGCGTTGCCCTGTTTTTCGGGGTGCCGCCCGTCGACCACAAAGAGCCCATACAATGTATCGTACATATATATATATATATATTCTTTCGATGTCCCGGGTATTCATCCTGATTATGATTTGATGGATTTAAATTGGATGTCATTTTCAACTATTGTTGTTTAATATAGTAATTGTTTCCCCATATTCTACTGTACCAGCCATTGTTGTGTATGGCCATTGTGCAATTATTGTGCTTTATATAATTGAGCAACATATCTATGTATTACATCAAATATCAGGTTAATCTGTGCAAATATTATGCTATTGTGCCAATATTGTGCCGTATTTAATTGAATAACATACTTATA